AAACCTCAGCTCTAGAGTCGTCTAATGACTGGTTATTTACACATCTGTCTCCCCCATTAGATTTCAAAGTCCTTTTAGGCAGAGACTGAGTCTATTTGACCGCTCAGTGCCTAAGGCTAAGATTCTGCTCACATAATAGATAACACATTTCTGTTGGATAAAGAATTCACTCTTGTTACATCTCTCCCACTCAGATCCAAAGGTAGACACATCACCAAGTCCCGAGTACCATCAGGAAGTTCCTCAATTCCGTTGCCTTTCTCCGGCTTCACCACCACCATTGCTCTGCTTCAAGTCACATCTGTCACTGGACCACTGTAATAGCCTCCTAATTGTCTTACTTCTTTCTTCCACTTGTGCTCCAATCTATTCCCCAGACAGTAGCCAGAGTGGGTTTCTAAACTGAAAATGTTACCTGAAACATTGCAGTACTATCCCCATTACTCTTACAATAAAGCCCAGTGGTCTATAAGGTCCCAACTTTTGGAGTTTTAAGTCACTTCCTTCTTTTGGTGTCTCCAACCTGCTCTCCCTTCACCACAGGGCCTTTGCACTGTGTCTCCTCCACCTAGGACACTGTATTACCCCACAATTGACTCCTCATCTTTCAAAGCTCAGCCCAGTGTTGCTTTCCTGACTGTCCTAGTAAAATAAAACCTGCTATTCTTGGTTCTCCTAGCACCTTTATAACTTTTATAGTCTCTATCTGTTTTTGTTTGATGTCTACTCCCATCCTCCCTCAGCTATCTCTGTCTCTGAAACCCCAATGGCACATAAGAAACTCTCAATATATATTTAAGAAGTTCAAATATGTATTTGAGATTTACCAGCAGTGTAAAAATAGAACTGAAAGAACGGGGCCACTGGAGAAATGTGCTGTGCTTTCCCCCACTCTTTCAGCACCCTATAACCATAGTTGCCTCCTCAGAGAAGATTTGTTACAAGGAGATTGCCCTTGATCATACGTGATATGAAACTAAGATAGAGAATGGGCTGAACAAAGGGAGACCAGAGCATCTACAAGCAAAAGTCAATAGGGCAGAGCCCAGGTAGCGGACAGGTCACTGTCGGTGGGTATCACCTGCGTGCACAACTGCAAGAGCCCTCAGGCTCAGGGAACAGCAACAGGGTTTATTTAACAAACAGGGGAAACAAGAGGGTCTAAGGCCACAGGGGCCGCGAGCTCACCCCGGAGAGTGTCCACAGTGTCCTGAAGCCCCAACCAAAGGCCGCTCCTCCAAGATGGCGCCGTCCCGCCAACCAGGGCCCGGAGCGTCGAGGCCGGAGGCAGGGGCCGCGTCACCGCTGCTGAGGCGCCACGTGGGCGCAGGCACGATGCTCCTCCGGGGCGGTGGCAGCCTCAGGGGCAGAGCCGGTCCCGGAAGCTGGGCGGCCGCTCTCCTCGCAGTGGCCGCTGAAGCTTAACACAGCGGGGGTCTGGGGGGGCCAGGGCTGGCCCCTCCCCTGCCCGCTGGCCTCTCGCCGGCCCCACCTTAGCTGGCACCTGCCTGATTGGACCATGTTCCACTCCAGGTGGCCAATCAGAGCACTTTAGGCCCGTCGGCCCAGCTGGCACCGAGAGGTCAGCTAACGAGCTGGTGAACGCCACTGGTTCACTGAGCTCGCGCCTCGCGGACCTGCCCGCCGTGCAGGCGCCACAGCCACAGGCCGTGCCGGCCTCCGTGCGGCGTCCTGCAGGCAGCAGGGCCAGGCCCGCGTGCTGCCCGTGGCTGGCCGAGGGAAAGGCCCTCGGCTCTGCTCAAAGCCCCTGGCCCCGGGGGAGGGCTGCCCGCAGCACCAGCCTCGGGCCCAGGGTGCTTTTCCGAGGGCTCGGGCAGCTGAGGCAGCCGTGCGACAGAGCCCGTCTTCCCTGCGGCGCGGTGTCGTGCGCACGTGACCCTCTGCGCCTGCTACAATCTGCTGGGCTGGGACTTGCTTCTACTCCGGTCTCCGACTTGGGAAGGTGAATTGCATTCAGGCACTTTCAAGTTCGAATGGATAAAAACAGACTTATGTTCACCAATTTCTAATGCAAATGTATTCATTTTGCTCTAGTGAAAATTAATATTTTCCCCAAATATCAGTGGAAGTGCAAGGCCTGGGAAGCCAGAATGTCGCCGTTGGTTCTCACCCACGCACTTACTACTGCACTTGCAGGACACGATTCAGGCTCAGGAATCAACAACAGGGCTCAGGGGAGAGAGGAACGAGAGGCAGTCGCCAAGGTTCAAAAGTCAAAGGTCACGAAATTCATGTCTCAGGTCATGAATGTTTCAAAGTTCACAAAGGTCTCAGCAAGAGCAATCCAAAAGCCACACTGCAGCACTGGACACAAGACAGGACAAGATCAGACTGGATGGCAGCAAAGGCAAAGGCAAAAGTAACAGGGTGTGGTACCAGATATGTCTCAGGGTAGGGAGCAGTTTTATAGCTCTCAGAGATGTTGGCCACAAAGCCAACAGCAAACCACTCTTTTAGGAAAACCTAACACAGGGGCAGTGGTGTCATTTGGCAGATAATATTGGAAGCAGAGTCGGAGGGCAGGTCTCTGAAGGCACGGTACTAGAAGACAGAGGTCATTGTTATAACTCAATGACAGTCTTCTGGGTGAATCTGACTTCAGGTACAGTGTTACAGTTAATGAAGGTCTTCTAGAACTGTCTGACTACCTCTCCAATTGCCGCTTCCAAGAACTCCAACAGGATCTCCCCTACAAGTTGGCTAGAGCCTGGCTTAAACATGCTCCTTTTCTTTCAAACCTGATTGGTCCTTTTAATTCACCGGCACCAATGGGAGCTCCAATCAGATTAGAAAGTTTATAAGCCTTAATTTGCATAACTGCCATGGGCAGTCCAGTCAGATTGAACCATTTACAAGCCTATATTTGCATAGCTGCCACAGAGGTCCAACCACAGTGGAAGCTTTACAAGCCCATATTTGTGTAACTTCCATGGCACATCCAATCAGATTGGAAGGTTTACAAGCCTATATTTGCATAACTTCCATGGCAGGTCCAATCACATCGGAAGGATTACACGCCTATATTTGCATAACTGCCAATGGGGAGGGGGTTAGTACAGTACCAGTTGGGAAAACTGGAGGGGTGGGGGAGGGTCTCAAATCCCAACTGTTGGATTGGTACTGGTCAAGCTGCAATGAAATTGGTCCATTCGCAAGTATATTCTGGAGCCTAATATGAAAGGATAAAACCCAGACCCTGCCCGCACTGGACCTGCCCACTCTTGGGCTAGAAGGCTCCAAAGAACTCAATTGTGCAGAGGCAAAGTGTACCTCAGCAAGGCTGGGTTTAATGATTCAGGGTGTCGTGCTTCATAACCACAGTAGTATAACTAGTTTGTGACTTCATCATTAATAGAAATCATATACATTTCCATTTAGGTGCAGCTATCTCAAAGCCTTGTTCATGCTTATCAGCATTTTAGTTCATACTAGTTATTAGAGCCACCACTAGATCCCTTTAATGGGTCAATAATTACATGGATTATTATATCACATTTTTATACTTGCTATTTTTTTTAAAGATTTATTTATTTATGCATACAGAACTGAGGTACTGGCCAGAGGTGCAGGGGCGGTGAGAGGAGTCACCGGAGACAGAGTGGGGAGCAGAACAGGCAGATGGAGGAAGTACACTGCTGAGGGGAGCAGCGGGCAGGTCAGGAGAGGTCTGCTGCGCCCTGTGGGTCACCTCCCTGGTTGGGTATTGAACTCATGCTGAAGTGGCTTTACCTTCCTAGTGCTGCATTAACCCACTGTACCACCAGGGAGAGCCTACACTTGCTACTTTAATATAGCTTATTTCCTTTATAATCTTACACATTTCTTTTTGTGTATTTAAAATATTATTTGAGATGGGGTCCACAGACTTCAGACTTCAATGCCAGGAAAAGCATTAAGAAGACCCTTCCTATAGACTGGTGACTCCCAGCCCTAATCCAACTTAAGACCTGCAAGGCCATGGACTCCGGACATGTGTATTTGGATATATCATGAGAACCCTGAACTCAGCATGCCCCAAACTGAACTCATCAGCTTCTACTACCCTCTTTTACTCTCAAAACTGCAACTTCTCACTGTTTCAATGGGTAGCCAGCCACTCAGTTGTCCAAGGTACAATTTTGATCTACCCTTGACAGTACCCTGTCCTCCATGCAAACAATCAAGGTCCAAATCACGTCAATTTAACCTTCTCGATAATATTTCTAAAACCATTCATTTACGTCCACTCTGAATACTTCAGTTTGGTAGCCATCCTCTCTCTTATCCCTAAGTAGTTTTCTCAACAACAGAATGCGCTCCCTTCTAATTCATTCTTTTCAGTCATGATAGGTGCTCTTTCTCTCCCCCAAACACTGCACTTAATCTAACATAGCCCACTTCACACGGTTTTGTAATTACTTGAGAATAAGTTCCAGGAGTGTCAGGATTTTTATCTTGGTTATTTTGGGATCTGTAGCATTAATCATGCTATCTGGCATATATAATGTTCTCTAAATGTTTGATGAATAAATGAATAATTGGACTGAGCTTCAATCTGATGATTAGCAGCAGTGTGATAAAAACATTGAGGGGCTATCCAGAATCTTAATTTTATTAAGAAAAATTCATACAGACTTATATTATGGGATAATTTCACCCCTATAACACTAAGGGCCACACGACAAGGCTACAAAGTGCCTCTTTACAATTTAATAAGGAGAAATGGTTCTTCAATATCTAGAGCCACCTCATTTTCCCCTACCTTCTCTAAATACTTCCTTCTGAGCTTAATGTGCCCCAATGTTTCTTAATTTCGATTCAATAGCATAGTTAATATGGAAGTAATTAAAGATTAAAAGCCACTTGGCAATGCTTGTACATAAAAGCCCACACTTCGCCATGGTGAGATTATGTTGTCAGAAAGATGATGTCATAAAGCCTGAACCATATAAAACTCAGCATTTCCTTGGTAGAGGGAACATTTGGACAGAGCCCTGGACATGAAGCTTCACATTTATGTCCTATTTTTGTCCATATGGACAATCAGCTGTTTGAATACAAACCAAACTGAGGCCCCGACCACTACAGGTATGTGCCTAACCTTAAGAACTGTTAAGTTACAATGTAGCATAATATGTATCCAAACATTTAGCCAAGCTAACGTAGTTTAAGAAACCTGCTGTTTCTGGCATGATGCCTCAAGAGTTTCTAGAATATGAGAGTTTCAGTTTTGTGTGAAAAATCCAAACAATGGAAACAGAATACAGATTTAATGTCTCCCTTCCCCTCCTTTCTACCCACTTCACCAACGTGCTCCCAGTCACATTAGACAATACTGTGTGAGTGAATGGGACTTAATACAGAGTAGATTTCAACAAGGGTTTCTTCGTGTCCTATCTCTGTTCTCACAATATGTGTTCAATCAGACACATCAGCATTCATAAAGAAACACTCACGGAAGTAGGCAATGGAGTGAGCACACCGTGATGTGGGGGTAACCCAAGTATTTGTACTGATATGCCAGAGATATCTACTAGATGGGAACGTGCTCCAAGGAAGAAAGTGATATGGCATAGTTGTCATGTTTTTTAAAAAATCATTAATGAAGAGATTTGATTTTGATCTATAATGTCAAACCACTATGAAAATGGAAGAATATTTGGTTGCCTGACAAGTTTTTTGATGATACAATCTCTTTAGCTGTAACAAGGCATACCGAATCCATGAAGATGAAAATGGACAGTTTCAGAAGACATTTGCTGATTATCGTAATTGGTATTATGGTCATTGCTTTTGCCTTTACCTGTTTCTGTTTCTTCCATTATAACTGTGCCAATGAAGGAGAAACGTAAGTTTTAAATTAAGTTTATTTAACATAAATTAAGGTTTAGATTAAGCCTTTAAGAATATAAGTTATGTGTCACAAGTAGTGGAGATTTTACTGTTGTGATTACTTAGTGTTAACTTTAGATTTCTAAAGAGCTACCAACTTCTTTCACTCATCTATAGCAGCTCTTAATATTCTCAAGTACATTGTCAACTTTAGCTAAAGCTGTCTCCTAGCCAGGGTTCAGTTATGCCCTAGGCTATTATTTCGTTGTAAGTTGAGTGAAGGGAAAGAAAGAACGTGACTATCTGAATAAGACAGAAGGAGGAGGGGAGGGCAGGAGTTGGATCTCTGGATTCCAAGGCCAAAGCATTTTGAATAATCTCCCATTTTAAGATTGCAATAGCATGTAAAATTATTTGAGGGGCCTCCCTGGTGGTCTAGGGTTTAAGTCTCAGCATAATCATTGCTCGGGCCTGAGTTCGATCACTGGCCAGGGAGCTGACCCACATGGTGCAGCAGACCTCTCCTGTCTCCCCACTGCTCCCCCCAGCAGTGTATTTCAGTAGATATGCCTTTTCTCCTCCCCACTCTGTCTCTGATGAATCCTCTCACCCCTGGCACCTCTGGCCTACACCCCAATTCTGTGCAAAAAAAAAAATACTTGAAAACTAAAAACAGAACAGTGCTCCTTAATTTTACTTTTGGATATTGGTAGTAAATATGCATAGATAGATAACTTGATAAATTGTCAATATGGTAGGAAAGCAATGTGTTAAGTCTAAAGAGGTTATTTTTTCCTTGTGACAATTCTGACTTTTGTGTATCAGTTATATATCAGTTTTGTCTTTTTTAATTAATGAAAAAGTTTAATTTCTGGAACAAATGACATCTTTCTCTTCCACTCAACAGTATATTTGACACAACTTTGTCATCCCATATGTGTCAATGGTTTCTGTTTCTATGGTTTTCTAATATAGTTGAAACAGTAAAATACTCATAAAAAGAAAAATATTTTGGGCCCTCCCTGGTGGCGCTATGGGTTAGGACACAGCACTGCAAGCCAGCTGCTACTGCTTCAGTGCGAGTTCCATCCCCAGCCCCAGAGGTGACCCACGTGGGGCGGCAGACCGCTCCTGACCCACCCACTGCTCCCCTCGGCATTGTACTTTGTCGATCTGCCTGTTCTGCTCCCCACTCCATCTCTGGTGAAGCCTCTCACCACCCCCTGCACATCTGGCTTTTACCCAAGTTTTGCATGAATAAATAAATAAATCCTTAAAAATATATATTTCAACATGAGTTCCTATCTGGAACCTGAATGCTGACTTGCACCACACAAAGGCAAAAAGTCTATGCTTTCTGATAATAGTAATAATATAATCACTTAGCATGGTGCTATCTAGTATTATTACTAGTGCTGTTTTCAATTATGATTCCCAATTGTCTATATTTCCAGAGGCAAGAAAGAAGTTGGAACAGGCAATCCATCTATATCAACCAAAATATTAGTCCCTGAGTCCAAGGCACTCAGTCCAATCACTCCAGAAAAACCACTTATGCTGTTGGGTACGGACAAGTTATGTATAGACAAGTTAGGTATGGATAAGTTAGGTGCAGACAAGTTACCTGGGCCCTCTATGGCAGAAAAGTCAAACAGGCCCTCGAGTCCTGAAAAATCAGCCATACCTTCCAGTGAAGAAAAGTTAATCAAACACTCTAGTTCAGAAAAATCTATACAATCTAGTGGAGAAATGTTAATCAAGCCATCAAGTAAAGATAAGTCCTTTAAGTCACCAAAAAGCAAAAAATTATATGGAGCATCCCATCTGGACAACAAACATAAAAAAACCCACGTAGGCAAGTCCCATAAGACCCCTCAGACAAATAAGCCAGTCAGTCCTTGCTATCCAAATAAGGTAACGAGACCACTTTCTTCAATCAAACCAACAAATCCACTTTGTCCACCCAGTCCTCAAAATCAAACCCCAGCACTGAAGTCATCCAGTTTCCAGAAACTGAGCAAACACCCCAGAAACAGCAATCTAAAATGGCCAGGTAATAACAGTAAGACAGACACATTGTCTGTAGTTGAGTCTTGTCGCTGCTACAAGAAAAGCTGCCTTATTTGTCATACTCTTTACACACCTTTGATCAATGATATTGCTGAGGCAGAGAAGAAAGAATCTCAAAACCTGTCTTTTTCAAATAAACTGAAATCTTTTTCCAGATCTTATTACAAAGTAGATTCCAGTGATAATGCACTCATGAGTGACAGTGATACAAGGACCTATGATAGTAATGATGATAGTGAGAGAGAGATCACTATCATTTGTAATATAAAACACAAAGAAATCACCTTTAAAGGCACTCAAAATAGAAACCAACAATGAAGAAACAAACTCATACCTAACTTCAGCTTATCATCCTTTAAGAAACTGATAATGAAGAAAATCTACATGTTGAAATTGGTCCTATCCATCTTAAAGACAATCTACTTGAAAGACAATAATAAAATGTATGACATCACAAATGACTGTGTACTTATTGAATTTTAGAGGCACAAGTTACTTTTGATGCATTTTACTTAGGTCACTCCAATGGGAACCACAAACATACAAACCTACAAAGGAATTCGAAGGTGGGATCCTAGGCTCTTCCTTCCCTTGACTTGCTCTCAATTGAACTATTAACCCAATTAAGTTTAGTTTTTAATGTTTTTACTCAGTCACAGTTTGAGAATGTCTTTCTGTGGTGCCCAGTCGTGGATAGAAATAGCTCCTTGTTTTAGGTTCTTGTACCCAATTTCAACTTGTTTGGGTGGTAGTGGAAAGAAAAAGGGCTTCCCCACATCAATAAGTAGTTCTCAGGTGAGAATCCAATTCAACTGAACTCCAGGATCTACCTGGAGGTAGCATCAACTCCCATAGGTTAATGACTCAGTCCTAGAAGGTTTTGCGCACCCCACCACTTCAGTAGTCATTGTAAGTCCACGTTATCGCCAGGGTTATAGGTTGGAGGGTCCAATGACCCCCTCCTTAGACCCCAGATGCCAGTTACAAGTCCAGATTGTTACCTGGACTGCTGATCAACTGGCTACCAATCAGGTTCCCATGACCTCTTCCCTCTTTGAGTTCTATTAATTTGCCAGAGCACCTCACAGAACTCAGAGAAAGCTTCTGCGTAGAAAATCCACTTTTATTATAAAAGGACATAGTGCAGGGACAGAGAGATGGAAGAGATGCATAGAGCAAGTTATGGGGAAGGGGACAGGGCCCCCACTTCCTTTCCACTCACCCCTAAATCTCCAAGTGTTTACCAACCAGGAAGCTTTCCTAACCCAATCCTTCTTGGGCTTTTAAGGGGGCTTCATTACACAGGCGCAATGAATTAGGCCACTGGCCATTGGTCACTGAACTCAACCTCCAGGCCATGTGCCCTCACCAGAGGTGAGGCAGTGACTGAAAGGCTCCAACCTCTAACTCCAGGGTTGCCTCACTGGCAACCAGCCCTCTTCCATAGTTGCTTTCCAAAATTCATCTCTTTAACATAACAAAAACACCTTTCTCACTTCCAACACATAAGAAACAAGCTTTTGGGAGCTGTGTCCCAGGAACTGCAACTGACGACTAAGTAAATATGAAAATTGGTTATCTGGATCACCCAGTCAGTAAGGATTTTTTTTTTATACATCACAGCCTGTGTCCTTGGTTCTGACTTGAGTTGCAGAAATCCTTGAGAGTCGTTTCCAACACCACAGCCTTCTGTTATGTCTGTGGAAAGTCGGGTCCACTCTATAGAGCCTACACCTGAAACAGTATAAGCCTAAGTGTTCTAGTCTTTGTGACGCTTAGCAGGACGTTTCTTCTTTGTTACTCCCTCACCCTGCATGGTCATACTTTGCCTATTATGAGGAAAAGCCTGGTCTTTTTACAATTTGCAATAGAAGCAAAAGCAACCTGATCAAAATATTAAGTTGTTTACTGTGAAAAACACTTCAAACATACACAAAAGTAGAACAGGTAATACAATGAATGCTGGTATATGCATTGCTCAGACTCAGCAGTTATGACTAAATGGCCAAGCTTATTTCATTTATAGTCCTATTCATTGCCCTTCCCATTTGTATTGCTGAAAGATAATTATTCAGTAACATTATTTCTCCTAAAAACAACTATAATTCCTTAACATCGATTATCCAGGCAATATTCAAATTACCACATCTGACTCCTAATATTTTTAGTTGCTATGTTCAGATGGTATTGATTCGTGTTTTACAGCATCTAAGACAGTTTTCTAAAATCAAAACTACAATTTCATTGGCTAATCTGGTTTCAAAATGTAGGATGATTTCGGAGCTACTCTGAGCTGTCAGTAGCCTAGAAAAGAGCACAAGTCGAAACTGTGGCTTTCAGACAAAGCCAGCTAACCTAAGCTCTATTCTCTTTCCTATTTTGAGCTGGAGACTTGTAATACTTTGAAAGCTGTGCATATTAATATCTAATAAAATGACTAACTGCCAGTGACAACCAATGATAATGACATCTTAAGAACAAGTTATCTGCATGAGTATGTATGTTCCTTTTTAAACCACACTTAATTATAGAGTAGGAGTCTACAGAATATTTGAAGCTCATTCAATATGCAAAATTCAAAGTGCACTAATGGGGCTTCACACGTAAAACCAGTATAGAATATTCAGTAAAAAAATATGTACCATGAGTCAGAGAAGAATTTTAACAAAAAGAGAGAGAGAGAGAGAATACTAATTTACCAGTGAAAACTCTCCCAGGCTAGTAATTAAAATAAGCTCTATCACTCCAATAGTCTTTGCTACTTGGCAATGTCCTGATTTCAGTCAGAGACCCGTATTTCTATGGCTAGTGGTACTGTCTCACTTCTCATAGAGCCTACTCCTTTCTCTCCTGTTCAACAAGAGTTGAGGCCGTAGACTCAGTCAGCCTATGGTTTCCTTACATTTCCATTTTCCAGAAAGCACTGTGAAGCTTTCAAGCGTGGTGCTTGCCTCTCTGATACATACTTTCAAGTGTGGTGCTTGCCTCTCTGATCACCCCCTCTCTCTGGTGAGTCCATCTGCTCCTGACTTTGGGACTGAAATGAATTCTATATTTTTGCCTTGACTCAGTACAGCTCTTTCTAAAATCCCATTACTTAGAAAAATGTTAAAAGGTTAGATTTCAAACATTTCTGACATTTTCTAGATGAAATTATATAAGCACAGAGCTGAAAGGATGCTTAGAGATCCTCTTCTGCTCTTCGGTGGAGAGGAGAAGCTGTCAGCAGCGGAAGGCGGCTTATTCAGTGAGAAGACCACATTCGTCAAGGTTGTGGAGGCGAGTGGCAGTGGCTTAGTGCCAGGGATCACCGAGCTCTAAGTGATCCCAAAGGAGCGACACAGTAGAGGTGGAAAGTTTGTGGTGGTGTCCAACAGGGGCTCATTCAAAGCCTTTAGCTTTATCAGTTCCCAAATCCAACAGGCCTTGCCACCTTGTAAGTGGTCCCTAAGCATTAACAGCAGTAAAGGAAAGTGAAATAGAAGCAGGAAAACAATAACAAAGTAGGCAGAAGAGCTAAAGGGACACTTCTCTAAAGATGACATACAGATGGGAACAGGCACATGAAAATAGGTTCAACATCAGAGAAGTGCAAGCCCAACCCACAATGAGATGCCATCTCACACCTGTGAGAAAAGTCCCTGTCAAAAAGGCCAGAAATAAGTGTTGGTGAGGGTGTGGAGAAAAAGGAAACTTTGTACACTGCTGGGGGGAATTCAGGCTGCCCCAGTCCCTGGGAAACAGCATGGAAGTTTCTCAAAATATTTAAACCAGATCGACCATGTGAGTCAGCAACTTCACTCCTAGGTGTCTCCCTGAAGAATGCAATGGCATGAATTTGAAGGGCTATGGGCCTCCTATGTTCACTGCAGCACTATTTATTATAGCCCAGTTGTGGAAGCAACTTAAGTTCCCCAAAATGAAGGCGTAGATTAGGAAGATGGAGTCTATATACACAATGGAATATTCCTCAATGATTTAAAAAAGAAAAAGATGAATTCTTGCCATTTGTGATAACATGGATAGAACTGAAAGGAAAAAGACAATTATCGGGTTGATTTGACTCATGTAGAGTATACAGATACAAAATAAAGGAAAACACACAACTAAATTAAAACAAACGCTGGAAATCTAACTGCTGATACTAGTGGGGAGAGTTGTGAGGTAGGGAACAAATAGACGGGCCCAAGGGACTGTGGTGGAGGACTACAGATGCCTTGTTAACAGGTGTGGTGTAGCAACATGCACCTGAAGGAGCTCCTGTACCTCTGAGTCACAGGCAGTATGCAAACCAATGTCCCCGGAATCAAAACAAGAAATAGCAGAAAAGCTGTGTAGAAATTTTGGCCCAAACCCTCCTTAGTTGTAACCCACATACAACACTCAACTATTCCTGTGTGCCTGTGACTTTCGAAAACAAGGGTAAAGATTAGTTTTGGAAGCATTTATGTAATATATTGAAAGGGCCATCTTCAAAATAAACAAAGGCTTAATTGCAGCTTACATGAAAGAACTTTTGGATAGTTCTGTTTTTAGAATTATCCCTGTATGTTCCTGAATCAAAATAACACCTTGAAAAGATTGTCAAAGGAGATGAGAAATGAGTAGCCATCAATCTGATATATGTAACCATTTTACTCTAAAAACCACAGAACTATACAGCCGTTTTCCACTGAAGAGCAGAAATTGGCTAATAACGAAAAATTCGGCAAGTGTTTTTGCCTTCTGTAAGAAGTAAAATTTTATTTTAAAAAATAAATCCTCGGGCCCTCCTTGTGGCATAGCGGGTTAAAGCACAGCACTGAGAAGCTAAATCCATTTCCGCAGGAGTTCCATCCCCGCCTGCCCCGGAGGTGACCACATGGCGTGGCAGACCTCTCCTGGGCTGCCCGCTGCTCCCCTCAGCAGTGTAATTCACCAGTCTACCTCTCCTGTTCCCCATTCTGACTCTGGGGAAGCCTCTCACAGTCCCTGAACCTCTGGCTTGTACCCAAGTTCTATATGAATAAATAAATCTTAAAAAAAAAAAAAGGGCTCTCCCTGGTGGTGCAGTGGGTTAAAGCACAGCACTGAGAACC